CCCCGCCCGGCCGTTCTCCGCCCCGCCTCCACCCCTCAGCGTCCCATCCTCCCTCCAGGAGCCCCCTGCCCGCCCGTGAGACCTAGCTTTCCAGCCCCACCCGCTCCAACTCCCCACCCCCTCCACTGGGACCCCGAACCCCCAATTCCTCATCGGTCCCCCAGCCCGAGAGTCTTTGCAGTGTCCATCCTCCCTGACGGCCTTCTCCACCCCTCTCTTTAGGAGGGACTCCACCCACCACCGGCCCTGCCCCCCCACTGAGCAGTCGCTGAACCCCACTCACCTTCTCTGTGAGCCCCTTTTTCTTCCCCAAGGGGCCTAGAAGCCACCCCCAAGTCCCACGCCTTGCGCGCGCGGTTTCTGTAGGTCCCCGCCCTCCTCCATCCCTCCTCTTCCATCATCCGGGCGCAGCCTGGGCCCGCGGAAGAAAAAATAATAATAAAAGCAAGAAGGCGCGGAGTGCCGGGCTTGCGGTCCCGCCTCGACTGTCCCTTACGCACGCGAAGGTTTCGGGGGAGTCCCACAGCGTGTCAGGGAGCCCCTATGCCTGGGCACACCGGGAGAGGTGAGTCCCCATTGACAGCAGGGACCGGACGCCTCATTCCTGGTTTCCAGGAGGGAATCCGTGCAAAATACTTTTCCCCAGACTCCTTCACATCCCCCCACGGAAAAATCCACTCAGCGGCCCGCGGGTGGGGTGCGCCACGCGGTGAGTAATCGCTGCGGCGGCCGCCGCCCGCCAACTCCAGGTAATGCCGGCTGCCCCGAGCGACGCATAGTTTATCTCTCTTTTAGAGGCGAGATCTTTCTCTGGGTTATTTTTGTTGGCCACTGTTTTGGGTTTCGGGGACCCCTCCCCGGCCCTACCCAGCCCTGGCGTTTCATCTCCCTGCTCCATGCTTCTCCGTCTCCACCCTATCCGAGTGCCCACGAGGGGAGGGAAAGGGGGTTCCTGGCCTGCCAGGCCTCCTCAGATGAGGGCGCCTGAAATGCGAGTTCTAGGGTGGTCCCTCCCCATTTGGGTGGCAGTTAGCCCCTAGCCGCAGCGCCCGGAGAGCAAAAGGCTCTACCTTTCCCATCCAGCGGTTGCCTTGGAGACCTGGCCACTCCCTAGCTGTCCCCAAGCTCCCTCCAGAAGACAAGGGAGGAAAGTAAAAACTGAGATCACTTTCATTTGCTGGAGCAAACCAGGCCTGTGGTGCCTCCGTTTTTTTTTTTGTTTTTTTTTTTTTTTTTTTTTTTTTTTGTCTTTTTTGAGACAGGGTCTCCTTGTAGTCCCAGCTGTCCTGGAACCCCCTATGTAGACCAGGCTGGCCTCGAACTCAGAAAGATCCGCCTGCCTCTGCCTCCCAAGTGATGGGATTAAAGGCGAGCGCCACCACACTCAGCCTCAGTTTCTTTTTTTCACACAATTCCTTGCCAATTGAGAGGTTTGCATGGGAAGAATCAAATACGGCAGAAATATCCCCCAAAATCTAACCCTAATGTGCTGTACACAGTAGGGTCCAGGGGTGGCCCCCTGGTCTGCAGCCCACTCTGGTGGTCCAGAGGGTTAAGTGGAAGTGGTGGGTCTTGGCCGCATTTCCAAAATGTTTACCGCCCCTCCCCCCTCAGCGCCTGCCTCCCTGGGGTTCCCTGTGTGGGTATGGAGGTGGGAGCCCCCTCACGGTAAGCTTTGGCAGCAAAAAAATCTTTTTTATTTTTCTTAAACTGCTCCTCCCCCAGTCCAGGGAGAACCGGCCTCCCCCCATACACCCCCCCAGGTGCTGCAGGCAGGACCTAGGAATGAGCTTGCCCGAGCTCCCCTTCCTCTTCCCACACGTACTATCCATCAGCAGGCCGGTTGGCCTTAGTTCCAACACACATCCCCATTCTGAGATGCTGACCCCAGTCTCTCCCCCCCCCCCCATAACTCTTCTTTCTGGTCCAGGCCCTGCTGTGTATCTCTCCGGGATGCTACTAGGGCCTCCTCGGGGCCTGTTCCTCCTCCCCCATCCTGTCTTTGTCCCAACTACCCCGACTTTGAAATGAAAACAAACCCTAGCTCTGCCCCTGCCACCCTAACACCCCACCACCACACTGTCACCCCTACTGGCTGCTCCCCTCTCCACTGGGCTCAGTGTTTAGACAAACAGGCCTGCTTGGCTTGTTTCAGGACTCTGAGGTCTTTGGCTCCTTGGTCAGATGATCTTCCCCTTTTGAGTGCCTTTTCTGAGTCCACTCCCCCATTGTCCCTTCACCCTTCGCTGTCTTTTATTGTCTTGCTCTATAGTAACTTGGGGTTTGGGCAAGTTATTTTTTATTCTACATTGTGAATACCTGAGGGCCCCTGGGACCCCATCCTGGGCCCAGTGAGGGTCAGAAAAGAGTTTAATAAATACTTGCAAAATGAAAAAGACATAAAAGAATCCTATCCCTCCAAGCAGCAAGAAAGCAGCACCAACAAGTTATATCACTTGGGGTCTCCGGCCCCTCCCTTTGCTGTGTAACTCAAGCTGGCAGATCCCCTTCTCTGGTCCTTATTTAAATCCTACCAACTCTCAGCATGCCTGGAGCTTGATCTCTGCCCTCTGGATGACCTTTACCCTTTAGGGCAAGGGAGTTGATCTCAAGGTGCACCCACTCTTCCCTGTCCTCAGTGCCCCCATACAACTTAACCCTCTCCTCTCCAGTTCATCCATCTTACTCAGGAAAGAGAGTCAGCCTTGGCATGACTTCTGACAAATATTGACCAAAGTCCTTGAAGGTGGCTGGGAATGTAGGAAGAGGTGGATGGAGGAGGGCCCCCTCTTCTTGAACTGGAGGAATGGCTCCTTTTTACTAAGACATTGGGCCAGGGCAGCCGGAAACCAGTGCGACTGATGAGGTCAGAGCTGCCCCTGCCAGGTGACCATTTCTCCAGTCACCCCCTGTGTGTCTGTGCTCCTGACTTTGCTAGTGGTGAGGTCTGATTACCTGGTTTAGAGCCTGTGGTTGGGTTTTCCCCCTGGCGGCTCAGCCTAGGCAGTGAAGGTGTCTGGACCTCAACTTGACAGTGCTCTGCAATTTCAGCAGGAGAAATGGGTGTGGGAAGGTCCCAGCCTGGGCAATATGAAGGAGGGGGGCGCGCCTAGGCCTGAGTTCCCTGCTCCTTTACACCCTAAAGAAACTGGTAGTGAGTCCCAGGAAGACCAGCTGTTTGAGGGAGCACCGCACCCAACTAGTAGGCAAACAGCGGCGCCACCCAGCCTTGCCTCCTCCCGGGTCTGGACTCGACTTGGGGGTGGGGGTCAGTAGGGTCGCGCCGAGGGCGGCCAGGGACAAAGGGCGCTTGTCCGCGGCCCGCCCTGACCCCGGTGGCCGCTTCCCGGACGCCTAGCGGCCGCTGATTCACACGGACAGCGCCCCCCGCCCCCGGCCGCGCAGCCCCGGGGGGTAGGAAGTGGGGGAGATGCGGGGCGGCGGCGAGTCAACTTTCCTTCTTAAGCCCCGAAGGAATGTCGGCGGATTTCCTGAAATCCGACCCCGGCCGCCCGCCGTCCCGTCCGCCCCTCACCTGGACCGGCTCTCCCGGGAATGCCGGGAGGGGCGCCCGGGCTCACCTGGGGGGCCGGGGTCAAGTCCTCTTCCGCTCCCCCCTAGCGGCCTCGTGGAGCGGAAAAGGGGGGGTGGTGGAAGCAATCAGACTCTTCCTTCAACCCTGGGGCGCGCCTGGCTGCAGCCCAACCTATCCAGCCTCAGTTTCTCCGTATGCAAAAAAAAAGCTTAGGATGTCCTTTTTGAAAATTATGGGACATTTTTTCCCTTAAGACAGAATGTAATGTAGCCCAGGCTGGCCTCAAACTTGTGGCCATCCTCCTGCTTCACCCCCTTATGCTAGGATGACAGGCATGTACTACTCACTGTACCTCACTTCTCTTAAGCCCAAAGCCTCAAACTCGCTATGTAGCCCAGGCTGGCCCTGAACTCACAGCTTTCCTCCTGCCTGAGCCTCCCAGGTTGGAACCAACAGGCCCGGCTTCTCTTAAGCCTAAAGTCGTCCACCCCCACACCCTCGGCCTTGGCAGACACTGCCAGCCACTTTTCTGTTCCATCTCTTGTCACTTGGGCCCATCTCTGTGCCAATCCGAGTTCTAGTTACCTGATTTGGAAGTGGAGCAACGCTCCCCTATGGGATTTTTGAAAGAAAAAGAGTAGTCAGTCGTGGCAAGAAAATCTTTGTTGAAAGGAGTGTTTTGTTTGAATTAAGGACCATAATTGGGGAAGGGTTAAGCGCTCGGGACTCTGCAAATGACGTGTGTGAACTTGAATTCCAGCTCTACCCAGGCGACCGGATGCCCAGGTTTCCCACCTGTAAAACGGGGGGCCAGGCTTTCTTTTCGGAGGTTTTTGTTTTGTTTTGAGACAGGGTCTCCGTCCCTATGTAGTCCGAGCAGGCCTTGACTTCGAGAGCGATCCTCCTGCCTCAACCTTCGACGGATGATGGGTGTGTGCTACCGCGCCCTGTTTGGAGGGGACAGTCTCAGCACTCAGGGACCATCTCGGGGTGTGCCGGCCGGAGGGAGGTCTCGCTCAATCGGAGGGGGGGGGGCGGGCGGGGCGGGGGGGGCT